TATTAAAAAAGTTTATGGCATTCTCGCACAAACGCCACTGGTGCTAGTAGAAATATTGGGATCACCCCAAAAATGCACATGTATCCCTCCAAAGCGTTTTTCAAATTTCGAGTCAATATCTTTAAAACTTTAAAATAATTGATAAAAATAAATAAAAAATTAAAATTTAGCACTATCTCGGCAACTAACCATATTTGGACCTACTTTATATGAACTTTTTTTCATAAAATAATTTCGGCAACCACCCTCTAAAATATTTTACATTTATTTAAAAACGCCCTGTATAATTTAAATTGAAAAAAAAAATTATTTGGTAGGTAGCTTAATTCGGTTCCTGCGAGTGAAAAAAATGTTTTAAAAAAGCCTCATGTTAATTACTCAATAATATATTTATTTTGCTATTTAGCCTGCACCTGCATACAAATATATAGGGTGATTTCACTTTAAATACAGAAACTGCAGAACTGGATTCATTACCAAAAAATAATAAATTGCTCTATAATTTTTTTTCCTGCCGGGACTCGGTATTCGCGATACAGGGTGTTAACGTTTACAAAAATATATATATTTTCTGCTATATCTTCACAATACGTTGACAGAATTGAATGAAATTTACTACAGAGTATTCAATTAATTAGACCTTTTATTGAATGTAATATTAACCTAGTGGCTTTAACCAGTGGTGTGCTACTGGAGGTGCCGCCCAATTTTCCTAAGAAAAAAATACACCACTGGCAGTTTTTGTAGAAATAATGTTATATTAAGGTACTGCTACGTTAAATGAATGAAAAATGTTTTTTAGTGTTTTTTAATAGTAGGAGCCGTTTAGGAGACATTTGGGATTGTTTTTACTTTTTATTGAATTTTTGTAATAAATTAATCCATTTAATTTATGAAAATCTTCTGGTTTTAACCAGCAACGTGCTACTAAAGGGTCTGCCAACTTTCCCCAGTGGCAGTTTTTTTGTAGAAATAATTCTATTTCTGGAAAAAATATCAAACTAAATAATAAAATAACATTAGCAAGTAATTAAAGAACGAGTCCTACAACAATTGTTCAAAACGAAGTCCTTCCGCATCGATACACTTTTGACATCTTCTAATCTATTTATAGATGAACTTATCATGACATGATTTTCCCTGAGGAGATTATAATTTTCCTCTATTTGCCACAATTTGTCGCATATTCATAAAGCCCAACAAGGACTGCAGCTTCAGGAATAAATAAACAAAGCTAGCTATAATACTAAACAAGATTATCGTAAAGCTTAATTGATAATGCAGACAAAAGATTCAATTTTTGCTGATGGATGTTAAACAAATATGAATAGGTGGACTAAATTTGGGCATTATGATCGCCAAATAAGTAAATTATCTCCTAAACGGCTGCTACTATTAAAAAATACAAAGAATAACTTTTCATTCATTTAACATAACAGTACCTGATTTTAACATTATTTCTACAAAAAACTGCCAGTGGCATATTTTTTTCTTGGGAAGACGGAGCAGCACCTTCAGTAGCACGTCACTGGTTAATGACACAAGGTTAATATTATATTCAATAAAAGGTCTAATTACGTGAAGAATACACTGGAATAAATTTCATTCAAATCGTTCAGCTTAATATGATGATATGACCGAAAATATATACATATTTTTTTGGAAACTTGAAAACCCTATATCTCGAATACTATGTCACCCAGGAGAAAAGTTTATAGAGCAAATTCTAATTAATTTTTGGCAACTAATCTGTTGCTCCAGTTTCTGTATTTAAAGTGAAATCACCCTGTATACAATTCCCAGCAGAATAATACTGTTTGACGTCATTCATCTATCTTATTCTTTAATAAAAACAATTTAAAAAAATAAGTATTACTTTCTACTTTTTGTACTTTTGCATAGGATATAGAGCTTTCTTAAATGATTACAAGCCTCATGACCGCCTAGCTTAAGCAACCCAATATTGCACAACTGGTACTGTCAACCAAAAATCCATAAATTTTATTGTCATCAATCAATGATGCGTTTACAATGAACAATGAGAAACTGTTGTGTCTACGCTCGAGATAATGCGATTGTTTATTCGTTGAATAATATCTCCGGAAAAATTACAGAAGTCACAATCGATGAAACAAAATCTTATCGTTTTAATAATTTTTAATTTTACAAAATTTAATTGTCAACATGAAGGAAATAAAATTACTGTTCCACACAAAATTATTGATCATGAGGCTTGAAATCATTTATAAAGGCTCTGTAGTATAAATTTCTGAAGCTGTACAATTCCTTATCAAATTCAATCAGAATAACATATCTTAGCATAAATCTTGCATTTTTCATGAAATAATAGAATAGTATTAATAGAATTCTAAATATATTTACATTATTAACTTTCCTTATATGCATTTTACTTAACATCTATAATAAAATTATCATGCGCCAGTGGCGGTTTTACCATAAGAGCTGCGGAGCTGCAGAACACATAAAATTTTATGTATTTAATCATAATAATATCAACAAAATATTTAAAGAATCCAAATGTACTCGCGCTAAAATAAATCTAGGAGCTTATATTATTATTTATTACGACGCGAGCTACGCTCCTTAATATATGCAACTTCATATACAAAATGTGTGCACAGCGAACAATTAGATGCGTCCTTTGTTTTTATTGGCTAATCAGGCACGTGACCCAGTACACTTTTATATGGGCTTTTGTGGCTGCAACAACGACAGCCACTGCTGCAGTAATGCGTAAATGCAGTAATATTTCGTACGTGGTATGTGGTGGTTTATTTCTGCGAGCGGCACATATGAATATTTTCGTTTTGGCGTCTACGGATATTATAGTTATTAAAATGAATAGCGTTTTGTTTTTTAAAAAAAATTATTTGGTTCTCTGCCTTATGAGGATAAACTAAAAATAAAAGAATTAGGTGGGCCAACACCACAATTAAATATTGAAGTTAGTGGAACAAGCCGAAGTAAAAGTTATAAAAGACAATTTAACAATAATATATACACAAAAGCAGAGTGGGTGTGCAGGTGTGATTTAAAAAATCCACTGTTTTGTTTTCCGTGCTTACTTTTCGGTGGTGATAAAGCATGGACAATATACAGTGTGAAAGATTTAAGTAATTTAAGTCATTAGATAAAATAAACATAAGAAGTCAGTTAGATTCTACATATTGGGATAATATATGGAAACACAATGAACAGGTAACGAAAAATCGTTAAGTATTATCTAAAATCATAGATTGCATAAAATTTTGTGGAGCTTTCGAATTAGTACTTCGCGGACACGACGAGACAGAAAATTTGGACAACCCTGATGTGTTTCGTGGACTCATAAATTTTAGTGCAGATCTTGACGACATATTAAAAAAACATCTAGCCACATGGGTAAGACCGGGATTTTCTGTGATTGTACTGGGAATTAGCTGTATGGTCCCGGATTTCGGATTTGCATGTATAACTCCCGGAATATAATATAATGTAATATATAAAAAAAGATAAAGAAAAAATCATAACACGGCGAGGAAAATTAAAATTCGTTGAATCGTTGGTAAATTTCACAAACGATTTTTTTTGTTTATAAACAATATTCAATAATTTAATAAAATATATTTAGTTTATTCCAATTTATTTATACTGTCAGTAGGTAATTCGTGAATAGATATTTCAAAAAGGTATCAATTTTAAAAATCGTTCTAGTGAAAATCTGTATTTTTGTATAAATGGATTGTTCCTTGAAATTCAGAAGTGCCAGGAAAACGCGTGACCTTGAAAATTTTAAAATTTTGAAACTCCGGGCACTTAATATCCCGAAATTCAATTCAACAAATGTAACAACCCTAAGCAGTCAATCTATGTTCACGCGCCGCCACTGTCATGCGCCAATGAACAACCTAATTTGGTGTACCATATTTAGCCGTACATAATTAACTGTTTTTGAAAAATAAGTTAACCATTCATTCACAGAGTAGATCAAAGATAACAAAGTAAAAATTGACTTATTTAGTACATAATTCTGTAAAGGAATAATCACATATTTTTCATAAAGATGAAAAAATCGTACATTTGTAAATTAATTACTCATTAAATATTTAGGTACCACTTTCTTACCTTTGTCTATCATATGTTCAATGCTATGTAAAATCCAAGTACTTTTTTACAATGTTTTAAACAGATATATGAGAATAAAAATAAATATGTTTTATACTGGTTTTAATAGAAAATAGGCAATCAGGAATATTATCGATTTGCACTCTTGGTACACCAATCAAGTTTCACAAAAAAAATTTTATGATTTTGTTCTTGGAATTTTTGTTTCAAATACTATGTTAGTCATGAGAAGTTTAAAAAAAACTGGTGCAGGAATTTTATTAGAAGTTGCAAAAATGCAAAATTTTTATGCCAATGATACAATCAATATCGCCCACCCACCTCTTTTGCAGAAGACACGACCCACTGATGAAATGATGCATATGGCATATTGTTCCAAGTTATTCCTTTATACATTGACTAATTTTAATTATATAGGTTATAAATATAGGTTACTCTTTTATATACTGTGTAATAAAAGCCAGGACTATTGAATGTAGAACAAAACAAATAAGTTTTAGGAAAGATGCCAAGATATCGACCTGATTTTTATTTGTTATGTTCTTTAACAATTTTATTAAATTCAATTGTTCAATTTGTTGTTCAATAATTGTTTTTCAGTTATGTCATAATAGCACCTCCCAATTCTTCATAAGAATTCAATAAAGATTGCTTTTCTGAAAACAGTAACACTCCATGAACGGTCTGTTACTTACTGTTTAGCAATTATGAGATGGCTAAGCATTTGAATTGTATCCTGTATATTTTTTTGAAAATTAATTCCAATTAGTTGTTCACTGAAAAATTATTTTCTAGTTCATTGAAAAGTTTAGTACATAAAACAAAAAAGTTAAATTTTCTTTCAGTAAATTTATTGATGTTTTTTTATATTTCAGGGTCTCGAGACATTATGCGAAAGGAGCTTTACAGTACATTGTCCCCATTCTTCTGCAGAAATTAACAAAACAAGAAGAATTAGATGATGAGGATGATTGGAATCCAAGCAAAGCTGCTGGAGTATGTTTAATGCTTTTAGCAACTTGTTGTGAAGATGAAATTGTACCACATGTGTTGCCTTTTATCAAAGACAATATTAAATCTGATAACTGGAGATTCAGGGATGCATCACTTATGGCATTTGGATCTATACTTGGAGGGCTAGAAAGTAATACACTTAAACCATTAGTAGAGCAAGCCATGCCTACTTTAATAGAACTAATGTATGACAGTAGTGTTATTGTGAGAGATACAGCAGCTTGGACCTTTGGCAGAATATGTGAAATAATTCCTGAAGCTGCTATTAATGAAACTTTCCTAAAACCACTGTTAGAAAGTTTAATTACTGGATTAAAAGCAGAGCCACGTGTTGCTGCTAATGTTTGTTGGGCATTCTCTGGTTTAGCAGAAGCAGCATATGAAGCTGCTGATATTAATGAAGAAACAGGAACTCCTGACACATATATTCTTTCTCAATATTTTGAATTTATTGTACAGCGTCTTCTGGAAACTACTGATCGTCCAGATGGAGCACAAGCGAATCTTCGACCTGCTGCTTATGAAGCTTTAATGGAGATGGTCAAAAATTCACCAAAGGATTGTTATGTTACAGTTCAAAAAACTACAATGGTTATTCTCGAACGATTGCAACAAGTTTTGCAGATGGAAACTCATATTTCCAGCCACAATGATAGGTCTCAATTTAATGACCTTCAATCTCTTTTGTGTGGCACTTTACAATCTGTCCTTAGAAAAGTTACTCCTGAGGATGCTCCGCAGATATCTGATGCCATTATGACTGCAATGTTAACTATGTTTAATTCAAATTCATGCAAAAGTGGAGGTAAGCTCATATATTACATGATTCTGAAATAAAACATATATAATTATACACAAAGGTATACAGGTCGATTCACTATATTTTGACCTCCCCTTTAACTTTTTTGTTTTAAGAGTTATAATGAATGTGAAATATAAAAGTTGCATGATTTTTTATGAATTTTTCGAAATTGATAGAAAACCAAATTAAGTCCAAACAAAATGGCTGTGGATGTTAACTTTGTTAATTTAAATGGAACACCCTATATATTTTTACATATTGAACGTTCCCTGTTGAGCATAGTCATATAGGATTTGTTGGGTCCATTTCTAATAATATGCGAGATAATATTAAAAAACTAAAAGGTTTTTTATTAAGAAAATGAGATGTTTTGTAACTGTTAGACGTCTTTCAGGCACTTCTACCTTTTTTCCAATTATGTAAGGATTTAGATTTAGTTATAATATATTTTGACATATCGGACATTGATATAGTCCAAAATGCATATAGGTATTTTATCTAAATCTCACTAATTAGGCCGTGAGAGGCCTATTTTGTAAAAAAAGATAGAAGTGCCTGAAAGACATCAAACAATTACAAAATATCTTATTTTCTTAATAAAAAACCTTTTTGTTTTTTTAATAAAATTTTCTCCCTTATTATTAGAGATGGACCCAACAAACCCTATATGACTATGCTCGACAGGGAACGTTCTATCCAAATATGTAAAAATATATAGGGTGTTCCATTTAAGTTAACAAAGTTAACATCTGCGGCCATTGTTTGAACTTCATTTGTATTTGTAAAGTCTTAGCCCTATACTTTCCTACGTTTATGTTAAATGCATTGTATTGCCATAATAACTCTTTATGACGCTATACAGGGTGGTCCGAATTTTATGCAGAAAACTTCGAGGTCAGATAGATCTTTTTAAAATAATATGTGTTTGCCTTATTGGTGTGGAACAGTCCCGTTTTAGAGATACAGGGTGTTGAAATTCTTAAAAAAAAATTGATTTTTTGTTTATATCCGGAATCTCTTAACCGATCTCAATAAAATTTGGTATAGATAATCTATGATAGTTGGCCCTGCATTCCCTAAAATATGAGCTCTAAAGGTATAACCAGTGGTGTACAACTGGGCAGGGGTCATCTCCTTTTTTATAAAAAAACATTTTTTACAAGTTATTGTAACGGATTTATATTCTAATGCACAAAATAAGTAAAAAATGTAATTTGATTTTTTTCCCTACGATTCGCCGTTTTCAAGTTACTCATATGAATACAATCCCCTTGTGCAGACATTTCTAACCATAATATAATTATATTTATGTTTATGCGTAAAAGTAAGCACATCAACAAAATTCTTTACATTTGTTTCCACACCACCTGTGAGGTAGAGTTCCTTACGCGTTTTATTTTCCCCTGGAAGCCTAACCCACTATCTTTACAAATAAGAACAACTTAAATCAAAATAATAATAAATGTACATTTACCAAAGGCGAGGGGTAGTGAATTTTTACAATCTGCATATTTGGTGACAAGAAAATCCTCATGAAATTCGAACAAGATCTTTTCAACACAAATTTTTAGTGAACGTGTGGCTTGGAATAATTCGCAATAAAGTTTGTGGACCTTTCTTCTTGCCACCCTGTCTAAATTCCCAGTCATTTCTAATCTTTCTAGAAAACCATCTATTTGAATTATTAAAGGATGTTTCATTAAATATACGACAAAATAGCTGGATACAATGGATGGTGCTCCTGAGCATTCTGGGACAATAGTATAAGAATGGTTTAGTGAAAATTATATGGGGCGATGTATAATGATGCAGAGGGTCCAGTGTCTTGGCCAGCCAGATTGCCATATCTAAACCACTTTATTATTCTACTCCGACAGATACAAGACGACAACTACTGCAAGGAATAGAAGATGGGTGTAATGAATTAAAAGAAAACCACCACATGATAATAGCTTCAATTAATTCCATTAATAGATGTCAGAAATGTGGGTGGTTCGCATTTTGAACAATTGTTGTAAATACATAACATTAATTTTGTTTCTTGTTTAGTTGCTGTTGCTTGGTAAACATATTTTTATTATTATTTTGATTAAAATTGTTCTTATTTGTAAAGAGTATTAGGCCTTCAGGGAAAACTAAAAACGCCATGAACACTACTTCACATGTGGTGTAGAAAGGAGTGTAAATAATTTTGTTGATGTGCTTACAAATTTCACTTACTTTTAAGCATAAACATAAATATTCTTGTAATATTATGATATGAAGTGTCTGCCACAAGGGGATTGTATTGGTATGAATAACTTAAGAACGACGAATCTTAGGGAAAAAATTTAAGTTACCTTTTTTACGTATTTTATGCATTAGAACAAATCAATTCATATCATAAATCACAATGATTTGTAAAAAATGCAGTGGCATAGTTTTTTTTTGTAAAAAAAAGGGGTGACCCCAGTCCAGTTGTACACCACTGGTTGAACCATTAAAGCTCATATTTTAGGGAATATAAGGCCTACTATTATACATTATTTGTACCAAATTTTATTGAGATCGGTTAAGAGATTCCGGAGATATAAACAAAAAATCAATTTTTTTTAACAACTTCAACCCCCTGTATCTCTAAAACGGGGCTGTTCCAGACCAATGTTATAAGGCAAATACATATTATTTTAAAGAGATCTATCTGCCCTCGAAATTTCCTGCATAAAATTCGGACCACCCTGTAGATAGTTTCAAATTTTAAAATTGCGACTCATGTTCAACGTTCCTGCGGACGCTCGCCCCACTGACAATTCCCATGCCCCCACTTTGCTAACTACGACACCTATGTAGACTCGGCTGTTTCTGTAGAATTAAGCTGCCAATTTTGGCTGCTGCTTTCACACCGGTGCTTTTTTCTATAATAAAAAAAATTAGATACATCTGTATGGCAAATATTAAAGAGAATTAAATGCAGTATTAGCATTGTGCCTTACAATCGGAATTGAGTTAGAAAATAAATCGTATGATTGAAATAGTTACTGTAGGTTTTCTGAATGAAATTGATCGAAGTATTCCTGCTATAGTTATAAAAATATGCATTTGCATAAAACAAGTTTGTTGAACATGTCATCTGTTTTAAATTGAAATTATATCTGTTTTAAACTGAAATTATAATACAGTGCTTATTATTATTAATCATACAGGGTAGGTCCATAAAACAATATGTTGTGTTATCACTTGAAAAATATTTGCTTTTGATGAAGTTAATAAATGTGACAGAATTTCCAAAAAAATGTTTGAAAATTGAAATACAATATACATTCAGATTATTTATACTGCAGTGCGTAATAAAAAAAAAAGCATTTCTTAATCATACATTAAAAAATAAGAACAGCAAATCCTTATGGAATTCTCTAAGATCTTTATTCTTCAGATATAATTAGTAATTCCAAGTACAGGATCTGCCGGAAAACTTGAAAGATGCGAATGCTATAAATAAATAAATAAATAAATATCTATTTCACCGCCAACTTCTACTGTAGAACAAACTTCTTTACTTACTGTTTCGACATAGTTGATATACTTAGTTTTTAGTTTGGAGCAGCGATGATGTTAACTTCCGAGGGGAATATATAGCAACCACAGATCATGAATAGGGGAAGAGAGCCGCTTTTTGTGAATCGCATCCGAAATGATGTGATTGACATTATGTTGGCTTCTCCGTGTATCACAGAAGGGTTCTCTGGATGGAGGGTGACGGACTGCATTACGATGTCGGATCACAGGTTGATCGCTTTCGAGATGGAGTCGGATCTGGAAATGTTAACTCTCCGGCGAAATCCAAGAGCAACAAATTGGGAGGTATATCGTAGTAACCTAGGGAACTCCCTGGAAGTGAGCAACCAAGGTGAACGAATAACCTCCACAAGGCAGTTAGATAATGAGGTAGAAACCCTAAGCAGTTGTATCGTTTCGGCATATGAGGAAGCCTGCCCTCTCAGAGTGGCCCGCTAGTGGAATAGGACCCTAGAGGGTCTCCGCCAGATGGCCAGGTGTGCCTTCAACCTAGCTGTCAGGGGAGGGGAGGGGACCTCTTGGGACGATTACAAAACTGCAAGGACAGAGTTTAAGAAGGAAATTAGGCGCAGCAAGAGATCTGGCTGGAAGACATACTGCAGTGAGCTGGAGTTCCTGCCAGAGACAGCCAGATTAATGAAGGTCTTAAACTGCGATAAAAGGGAGAAATTAGAATCATTGAAGAGGGAAGATGGGACTTGGACTACTTCCAGCGAGGAGTGTTTAGAACTTCTGCTGGAAACTCGCTTTGCAGGTGGAGCCCATGTTGTCGAGGGCACCAGGGCGGAGTTAATGCTGCAAGCAGATTGGCTCCTACAGTAACCTGGGCAGTGAAGGGATTCAAATCTTACAAGGCAGCGGGGCCGGATGGAGTCTTCCCGTCGTTATTGCAGAGGGACCTGGACATTCTCTTGCCATGCATGGTGAGGGTCTGGCGATGGGCTACATCCCACAGGCTTGGAGGTCAGCCAAGGTGGTCTTTCCCAGGTTGGGAAAGAAGACTACACTGTGGTGAAGTCTTTTAGGCCTATCAGTCTCGCATCCTTTCTGTATAAAAGCAGTGATAATAATTTAGATAATTTTGACTTAATTTTGAATTTGGATTGTTTTTATAATAGATTGTCGGGCACCATCCGCGTTTGCTAAACCTGGATAATTTCTCCCGTACCGTCCGTTCATACAAGTACTTTACTTTTCCTTGCTAGCTCAGCGTTTATTCAAGAAAGAATGTTTGGTTGCAATTGTAGGGCGACTTAAATTACGTGTTGTAATAACTGGGGTAATAGTAAAAGCAGAAAAAAACAGAAACCTCGGCCCTGGCTCTGGCTGGTTCGTAGAAGAAATTACACAGACAAACTCACCTCTTGGCAGGCTCACGACGACAGCATACGTCGACACACTTTGCTTGAAGGATTGGGCTGATGAATATACGTAAGTATGGGTGAATGCAAGATCTTTCCAGCAGTAACTCGGTCTTTTACTTTATAGGGGTCCAAGACGGAGGCTGTTGGCGCGACGAAGAGTGTAACGAATATTAACAATGAAAAGTGACTGACATGGTTGGGTTTTTGATTGATGTCTTTGACAGTTCCTTTTGTTGCAACTACGATTTTTTTAGGCACTATCGGAGCGCCGTGCTATTAATTCCATTGGCCATATTCTTTGATATAGAAGGTGCCTTCGATAAGGCATAAACTGAGACTATATGCAACTCGCTCCAAGACCGGGCTACATTGCCTACTGTGGTCGAATGGATGAGATCGGCATTGAAGGAAAGGAAGGTCAGTGCAGCCATGGGGGATTGTCGTAGGGACCTGGGAGTGAGGGGTGGATGCCCTCAAGGCAACTGCCTCTCGCCACTTCTATGGTGCCTAGTAATGGACGACCTCCTGGAAAGCCTAATCTTGGAGGGATATAGTGATGACCAAGCTTACGCTGATGATGCCGTGGTTCTAGTCACGGGCCGGCTTTTGGACGTGGTATGCGACAGAATGCAGGGAGCCTGTAGGATCTGAACCAATCTTAGGAATCACGCGAGGTAACATTAATGGGGCCCTTAATAAATGGGCCTATCAAACTTTAAGTCAGAAGACAGGATGGCTGCTGAGTCTTAGTCGAAGAGTCCTAAACCAAATGGTGGGGGTTCTGACAGGTCACTGCAGACTTAGGAGGCATTTAAGTTTAATAGGAATTGAGGAGGGCCATCTATGCCCGAAATGTGGAGAAGGGGAGGACATCCCTGTCCACCTTCTGGGACATTGTGCAGCCTTTGGGAGGATAAGACATAAAGTCTTTGGTACTGAAGAGCTGCAGGGGGACCAAAATCCTAGTGTTCATTAGGGCGTCGGGTAGTTTCGAGGAGGGTCAGAGGCAGAGAGTGGACAGGTGATGGTACGGTGGGGAAGGCAAAAAGAGCCCACTTGTGGCCTAATTGCCAGGTTGAGGCCGCCCCTTTTCACTTCTACTACTGCTAGTTTTTAGTTTGGTTTTGCGAAAAAAATGTTGTCATTATAATTCAGTATGTATTATGCATGTTCCTCTATTCACATTTCATTATATTTAAATTTACTTTTTTTTATTGCGGTTAAGAGTCCGTTCTCTGTACACTGCTAAGGTATCGCTGCGGGGTCGGGTGCACGGGCGTTACAGCTGGAGGCGGAGACTATCGCTTTCCCACTACGATGATTTTACAGTGGACGTATTTAGATTGATTTAAACGAGCCACTAACGTTACAATTTTTACTTCAATAATTGTGTCAATTTAGAATTAATACAATAATTATTGTACCGCAATTGTAGAAACAAATTTCATCGCAATACAAAATTGAATAACCGACATCCCACGGACGTCAATTTAACGCTCCTTCTCTTTTTTAGTTTTATGAAAAAAAGTTATTCTTGACGAAGAGTTCTGCATGGCCTAAAATCCAAAATGAAATAATCAGATTTAAATTTTTTGCAGTCGTATACGAGGTTTGTCGAAAAATTTAAATTTTGCTCAAGAGTAAAGTACCTTAATTTTTTAAAATATCGACAATCATTAATAAAAGTTGATCCAAATAGAAAACTACGGTCATATATCCAATATTATCCATTTACCATTAAAAAACAGATTTTGTTATTTTTACAAACTTTTCCGTATTAGCATTGATAATTTACGTCTAGAGATAGACATTAAATCTAACAGGTAAGGTAGTCGGATTTTTGTAATTTTTGATATTTATGGTACGTGTAGTTTGGACCTTGAATAAGAATGTTTCGAAGTAGTTCGACACAACGTTCATAAATTACCGAAATAATCGATTTTGAAGTTTTACCTGACAGCTAAATCCACTAGATGTGACACATTCTTAAACTGGGAGCGTAGTCTAATAGGTAGCGTTCGGAACTGACAGTCACGAGATCGCTGGTTCGAGTCCGTTGTGTGATATATATATTTTTTTTCGTAACACATCATATGGTATTTTATTATTTTCTTCATCTCGAAAATTATGAACAAACGAAATATTATAATAAATACTTATGTATATGTAGGAATATTCTTCAAATATTTCATTAAAAAGCAAAATTGGTTGATAAAAAATATTCATTATGAACTAACAATAAGATTTCATTAAAAAAAAAACAAACAAGGTCAGGTAGGCTGTTCTTTTATTTTATATTTATGTTACTATTTGACATTTTACGCAGTGTGGCACGAGCCAGAATAGTAGTTAATAGTTATCATAAAAAAATGGGAAGCAGAAATTTTTTAAGCATCTAGCTTCCTTTCTTTTTCTTTTTCTGATCTCGAAAATTATGAACAAACGAAATATTATGAGAACTGTATGTAGGAATATTCTTCAAGTGTTTAATTAACATTTTGAGCTAGGTTGTGTGGGTCGTCCACCGTGTTTAAAAAAACACCTGCTCGGGCATGTTTCTATGATAACTATCATTCTGGCTTATGGCAAACTGTGTAAAATGTCAAATACTAAAAATAAAATAAAAAACCTACCTGACTTTGTTTGTTTTTTTTTTTTTAAGAAACTTTATTGTTAATTCATAATAAATATTGTTTATCAACTAATTGTACATTTTAATGAAATATTTGAGGAATATTCCTACATATACATAAGTGTTTATTATAATATTTCATTTGTTCATAATTTTCGAGATGAAAAAAATAATAAAATACCATATGGTGCGTTATGAAAAAAAAAAAAATAAAATGTCACGCGACGGACTCGAACCAGCGATCTCATGACTGTCAGTTCCGGACGCTACCTGTTAGACCACGCTCCCAGTTGAAGAACGTGTCACATCTAGTGGATTTAGCTGTCAGGTAAAACTTCAAAATCGATTATCTCGGTAATTTATTAACATTGCGTTGAATTACTTCGAAAAATTCTTATTCAAGGTCCAAACTACACGTACTATAAATATCAAAAATTACAAAAATCCGACTACCTTATCTTCTCCTGTAAGATGCACTGACAAACCAATGGAATTTTTGATAGCAAACGTCAAAACGCTAGTTACAATTTATAAAATACAAGAAATGGCAGCTCTGTTAACTTCTTAGGAGAAAATTTAAATAGTTTTGATTGTGGGAGATGATTATAAAACTCATCAAGAAGCGGCAGTGATTTTTAATATTAGGCATCCGAATAGAAATCTCGTATACGAGAATAAGTTCAATATGACCAAAAATAATTAAAAATCGTCAATACTCATCAACGAGCATTCGATCATAAATGAGTTATTTCACTACTCCAAATGCACCTGGTTATGACCAAGTGCATTTGGAAACAAAAAACGTATACTTTCTCAAGAAAAACGGCAAAAAACAAATACGGGATTATTGTCGGCATTTCCTTTAATAAACATGGGCTGGGATGGAAACGCCGAAATGTTGTACTGTATAAATTAAATATACTATTACTATTAAAAATTTCATTGTTACCGCTGATAGTACAGTAAAAACATTTATTAAAAAATACATTTTTTAGTTTTCCGCTAGAAATAACATTGCCTGGCTGTGCCGTACAACTTTTAACTCAAGATAGTTTTTATATCAATCTCTGATATAATATCTCATTGGATGCAAAAACTTCTACCAATGAAAATAAAAGAATCGAACCCCGCAAGATCGATTAATTCAATACTCTCAATTGAGGACGTATAGATTATCACTGACTAGATATTTCTTTGAACTCCGGTCCTGTCCGCAATTACCAATCTCTAAGCCCATCCCACTGAGTAAAACACACGTGGTTGCAGCATTTAAAATATATTCGTTTCTGAAGTTGTAGACGTTCGGGATTTAGCATAGAATTTTGAGTAATTTTTATCAAATCAATATAATTTTGGTATCATTGCAAAGCTAAAAGATAGACCTACTTCCCTCTTGTAAGCAATTTTTGATTTAAGCCTTTATTTTTCCATAAATAAATTGTAAATATGACGATTTCTTGCATAGTTTACTCTTTAAATTTAAACAATTAGAAACCAATTTTGAAAAAACTGTTACAAGACAGCATTAGGAAAACACTTTGTCTTTCGATTGTTTTTTTTATTTGGGCCGCTATGTTTATTCGTTTTCCAAATATGTGTTATGGGCCGAACCCTTAAAATGGGTTTATTTCAAGCACGCGACGGACTCTTAAGTTGAAAAGCAGTTAAACTAACACTTCCTCCTATTTATTGACACTGTATTAAATATTTCTTGTTTGGAAGTAAAGACAATTTATTATTATTTCAATGCATATTCTAACATTCTCTATTTACAAAAAATTGCTTTATTTTGTTAGGAATTAAGGTCTAAAACAGGAAAGTACTGATATACAAGGCAACCCGTGAAGAACGTTTTAAGTATGTCATGGTACATTTCATTCTTTCATCAATATAATTTCCTAGAAAAAAGTTTGTATCTGTAAATTACAAATATATTTAGTGACACAGTTTCATCAAAATTGATTTATAAGATGTTTTTATTAAAGTTTATTATATTTGTTACAGGTGTCCAAGAGGACGCGCTTATGGCAGTTTCTACACTGGTGGAAGTGTTGGGTGAAGGTTTTATAAAGTACATGGATGCGTTTAAGCCATTCCTCTATCTCGGTTTAAAGAACCATCAAGAATATCAAGTTTGTGGCACAGCTGTGGGCCTAACTGGAGATATATTTAGAGCCCTTAAACTAAAGGTACTACCTTATTGTGATGAAATCATGACTCTTCTTCTTGAAAACCTAGGTGACCAGTCTGTTCATCGTAGTGTTAAACCACAAATTCTATCAGTGTTTGGAGATATGGTCCTCAGTATTGGACCCGAATTTAAAAAATATTTAGACATAGTTTTGTCAACCCTAGCACAGGCATCCCAAGCTCAAGTCGATCGAAACGATTTTGATATGATTGACTACTTAAATGAACTTCGAGAAGGTGTCTTGGATGCTTACACTGGTATAATACAGGGACTCAAAGGCGATGGTCCTTCTCCAAGTCCTGATGTTATGATCCTTGAGCCACATATTCCTTTTATTGTTCAGTTTATAACTGTAGTAGCTCAAGATTCGGAACATTCTGATGGAACTGTCGCTGTAGCTGCTGGTATTGTTGGTGATTTATGTACAGCATTCGGAGCACCTATGGTACAGTTATTGGATTTGGAGCCCATAAATGAGATGCTTGCTCAAGGTAGACGTAGTCGGATAAACAGGACAAAAACTTTAGCTACTTGGGCTACTAAGGAACTGCGCAAGCTCAAGGCGGCCAACTCAACTGCTGCTGCTGCTAGCTGGTAAGTTTTTAGACAATTTTTTTTCCAATATAACACTCCAGAAATTATAAGTGGAGGCTTGGCAGTTTTATAGGTTTTGAGATCTTTCAAAATTTAAACTTTTTCCAAAAACCAGTTTTATATGGTTATCTCATATTCAGTACATTTAACCTTTGAGCAGGCGTGCCATTTAATTTCACAGGAGCAGGCGCGTGTCGTACTTTTTACGCTGAGTGATTACTCAACATTTTGTATCAATATATCAATATTTGTATCAAATATGATCAATATTTTATATTGTTTGGTATAGCCAATGCCTTAGGACAATTATTAAAAACCATAATTAAAGCCATAATTATTTTATTTTGAAGAAGCAAAATAATACAGAGTAGCTATATAAAAATTTACTTCTATGGTGAAAGTGAACAGTTCATTTCTTGACACTTAATACATAAAATTTCAGTTATAGAATGGCGTTTACAAGTAAAAGAATTACAAGTATTACATTTCATGGATGCAGAGGTTCTTTTTTTATCTAAAACACATAAACGACACACACCGTGTTTGGAAGCTTGTTGAACTTCATCACTTTCTTCTGCATGTTTTTGTAGTTTGTTCTCAGAAATGCAGCTATATCAGATGGAAGATTTCTGAGTTCTGCTCTCGAAGTAAGGTGTTCTTTCATTAGATGGAGTGCCATGTTTTTTAGAAAGATTCTTCGATGTTTCACAGAAGTTGGTTTAGCAAATGAATATAACACCTGGGCATTTATTCCAGCAATGTTCAGCAGACTATAAAAGATAACACATGGCCATCTTTTTGTTATTCGTGAAACTGAATACGTTGCACACATTTTGTCAACTGTATCTACCCCACCTTTTGTAGCATTGTAATCCATAATTACTTGAGGTTTGTTAGTTACAGGGTTAATTTCCTCTGTATCATGTAGGGTAGAAAGGAGTATCACGACTTTATTCTTACGTGGAACATAGGATGTGAGTATTTTGTCTTTTTGGAATGCAAATAAAACTAAAGAAATTTCTTTCCTCTTGTCTGCTTGAAATGCTGTTGGAATTTCCTTCTTATTTTTCTTTAGCGTTCCAATCAGAGTTATTTTTTGTGACAGCAAGTAGTCCGCCAGAGGAATGGAGGTGTAGTAATTGTCTGTAGTTAAATTTTTGTTTGAATTTTCAATGGGAACAACAAGTCGTTTTACAGTATCAATGGGCGAATTGGATATTTTAAATGGGCCGTCCGGTTAAATACCACAATAAACCTCAAGATTAGATGTATAAAAAGTAGTGGCATCACACAAAGCATACATTTTAATTCCATACTTCGCTGGCTTAGCAGGCTTTGGAATTTTTTATGAATGCATTCAAAAATGTGCGAATAGCAGCTAATTTATCAGTAAGACGTCTTTCTGTCCTCGACGTTCTATCATCAAACCTTAGGGATCGTGTTAGAAATAAAAATCGCTTATAACTTATAACTGCCCTTGTAATTTCGATACCAGTTCCGTCATTGGTCCAAATTTCTTTCACATTGGCATGATGTGATTTTTTTATTCCAATTAAGTATAATAATCCCAAATAGGCCATAAATTCGCTGCGAGTTGTACTCTTGCAATCTCCCTCTCTAGCATATTCTTTTTTTCGTCTCAGTTCATCAATAAACATGTTCGTGAAAGTTACAATTTCATCTATCATGTCAAGGTCGACTATCTTTAGAAGAGCCTCCAATTCAGTAGTAATATCTTTAGCGCATTGTTTTAGACCAGCAGCCGATTTTATTATGTTAATTTTTTTTGTTTTAGAAAAAGTAGCATAAGTCGACTTACTCCATTTAGTTGACCCATCTTTTCCAACAAAGTACTCTCTGCTGGGAGGATTTTTTTCAAGTTCTTCTTCTGAAGCGCTTTGCTCTGACAAACTATCGCTATTCTCTATGACAATATGTTCATCACTCAAATCACTATTATGGTCACTGAAATTAATTTCCTCATCACTTTCTGGATCCTCAAACATTTGTTGAGCAATACGTTCAAGTTCAGCCTGGGAAAGTGGTACATTGCCTCTAGAACTTGGGTTTGTAGACGACATTTTGAGGGAAAATCTGTAAATATTAAAAAATTATATGAAATAATGGTAATAATGAATAATAAATCAATACAATAAAAAAAATGAGTATGAGTAAAAATTGTGAAATACTTACACAAAAAGTCGCACGTCGTAAAGTTTACGTCAGACTGGTCCTCTCAGACAGATGTCTCAATATAGACTAAACCTTGAAACTAATTTAATAATTTTTCTTGCTAAGTTCTACCCAAACATATATTCTAGGAATAGAAAGAGGTAAACACGTTCCTAGAATTGAAAATTTTAAGAGGAACAGAAATACTGGGAATTGTCGTAAAATTTACGACAGCGCGCCCGCTCGAAGGTTAATAAAAATGTACTTATACAGGGTGTTAAAAAAAGAGTGTAAAATATTTCAGGAGGTAATAGTATGAACCAAAATAAGCAGAAAAGTCTTAATAAACATGGTTCCGTAAAGTAACGGTTGCGGAGATATGGACCACTACTCGTTTTTCAAACATTTTATTTTATTAGGAATAAACCGACAAAGGAAGCTTTTAACAAACAAAAAACAAAGTTACAGAAGATGTTCAAAGTCCCTCCGTTCATTTCCAAGCAGGCATGACATTTTCGTCTCAACGATATTCGTACTCTTTCGAAAACACCCTCCTTGGTTTGGATTACTTGACACTTTTGATTAATTCGTAGCTGCAGCTCTTCCAGCCTATTTACCTACCTACCTATTTACCATACACTAATGTCTTCAAATATCCCCAAACAAAGAAATCGTAGAGGGTTCAGATCAGGCGATCTTGGAGGCCATAAAACAGGTCCGGCCCTTCCTACCCATCTATGTGGAAAAGTTTGGTGTAAATGCTCTCTAACGGCCATGGAGCACCATCATGCTGGAACCACATTTGTTGCCTCTGATTCAAAGGAATGTCTTCCAAAAACTCATACAGTGTGTTCTGCAGAAAGTTGAGGTAAGCAGCGCCTGTTAATCGGTTTGGTAAAACAACAGGACCTAGAAACCTGTCACCTACAATACCCATCCAAATGTTTAATGAAAAACGTGCCTGATTAGCACGACCATCATAACGAAAGAAAACTTGTGCACTGAGAACAACTGTCAAATACGTACTGTTTATTTCACTAAACATCAACCAACTATTATAAGAAAATACACGTTTTTGCAAAATAAAAAAAGGGGCTAAAAAACATAAAACATTCCATATCTCCGCAACCGTTACTTTGCGGACCCATGTATATTGAGACTTTTCTGCTTATTTTGGTTCATACTATTGCCTCCTTAAATATTTTACACTCTTTTTTAACACCCTGTATAGTAAATTAAAATAAATAAAATTTGTGCCCTTTGTATTTTTGTGTAATAAACTATTTACGCTGGTGCTGTAACGTTTACTCCATGAATGTCTGGTTTAGACGATTGTCAATAGCCTGAGTTGTGGAATCCAGACACTTACATTGAGAAAATACGGTTTCATTAAATGACATGACCAGATGTAGAGGGTTTAATTTTGCATGGGGATCATATTTATACAGAGGCTACCTTTGACCTTTAGAAGTACATTTGATAAGTTAGTTTTTTCAAAATTCGTTGTGTTTTTTTTGTTATAATTTTTTATCTTAATTCCAATAAAAACTAATAATTCAAGTAAAAAGTTGCATACTTACCTTTCATATTATAAAAACCTTGTAAACCGATAAACCGAAAATTAAAATAAGTATAATAAAATAAAGCTGCAACATGTTTAACGTTGGGCATTTATTTTTTCACTGCCTAGTGCCCTGTTATCAGTTCACATCAGGTGGATTGAATAAACTCCGTTAAATTACAATTCAACGGACTTTATTCACACTGAAAATCACAAACTAAACGGTGCTTTAAAAAAACACTTTTTTAAAAACATGAAATTATTGTTTAAAATGTTTCAATTCATAATAAAAAATAAAGAAAAATACTAATTCTTTATTTTTTATTATGTATATTTTATAAAACAGCAAAAATAATTATTTTTCCACATCCACTTTCCAAAATACCATAGCAGCACTCAAATTTTTTTTTAATATCTGGCGTTTGGTCTGCATTAACAAAAAATATATACAGAGTGTGCCATTTAACACTCCCGCTGCCAATATCTCCGAAATGAAGAAATTTATTTTAGTTCCAGAAACTGGGGTTGTTAAGTCCCTCAAATAGCTTAAATTGTAGTTAGAACGTTTTTGATGGTTAGTATTTGATGTGAATAAAGTCGTCATGAAGACTTGAAAGAGTTATCTCTGGTTCTTTTTCGAGAGAGCTCTTCAAAATTATTTTCACTGCATAGGCATGGAAAAGAACACTGAATGAATTTAGATCGGATATTTGGATATACGGTTTGAAATTAACTTGAACACATTTTTCAAATCTGGTTTTAGTTGGTAAAATATTTTCGGTAGTACCTACTTGTCTCTGGAATTATTTTGTGATAATCTGTTTCGAGATTTTGTATATTTTCTGTCTGATAAGAATCTCTTAATATATCCTCAATTAAATTCCTATTTCGTCTTTTTAAAATCACTGATCGAACTTTGGCTACCCGTGTCAACTTTCTGTTTTCCTGACACTCAAATATATCAGGAATAACCCCTGGTTTTAGTTTTATTACACTACCTTACATTGTTTTATAATACACATAATTTTTCATATCTTCCTCTAGCTAAAATTTTAATTATATACTATATAATTTGCAAAACCAAAGAAATAGCTAACTCACATTGAAATGATCTTCACAGTAATGCTTTGACCCCTTACTGCAAACAAATTTCTTCCTCCACATAGCTTTCTGCCACAAATTCTTTCTATTTTCATTTTTCGGTAATGAAATAAATATTTTATTCGGAGTCGATACTGAGGTATTTTTGCAGCCTGGAATTATACAA